AGAAAAGACTGAAATTTACATTGTGTTATAACCTTAAAGAGAATTTTTATAAAATGATGTATCGTTGGTACTTGTCGCCAGAAAAATTATCTAAAATGTATGTAGGTACTTCAAATGTATGCTGGAAATGTGAACAAAAAGAAGGGACATTTTATCATCTCTGGTAGACTTGTAAAAAAGCAAAAAAAAGAACAACAACAAAACAAAAAAAATCCTGGAATGAGATAAATATCTGTATACAGAAGATTTTAAGATTAACATTCAGTCAAAACCAGAGACTTTCCTTTTGGGCTTGATGGATAAACAGCTGGAAAAAACTCATGGAACTTTGTTTTTATATATGATAACCGCAGCAAGGCTTCTATATGCAGAGAGGTGGAAAGATGAGATACTACCTACAATGGAAGAATGGATGGTGAAGTTGATGGAGTTGGCTGAGATGGTGAAATTAATTTGAGATAAGACATTGTGTAATTTTAATGCTAACTGGAAATCTTTTTTGGACTTTTTGCGGGAAATAGAAAAAATGAAATTATGTTGTATGGATTTAATGATTAGGAATAATATGGGTTAATAGAAATAATGGAAGTTATGTTTTAAATTTAGAGAGTTTGCTGTATATTGTTACTTATCTGTTGCAAGGAGGGTTGGAAGTCAATTCTTCTGTTGTTGTTGTTTCCCTTTTTTCCCTTTCTTTTCTGCACTTTTGATCATTACTATTTTTCCAATTTTCTTTTTCTTCTTCTTAGTCTTTCTCTCAATATTAGTTTTTGTTATTTTTACTGTTGCTTTAAAAAAAAATTAATAAAGTTACCATAAAAAAAAATTATCTGAGTGTTCCCATTAATTGACAATGAAAACATTTACAGGAGCTGACCATTCTTTTCTGGAACATTGTTGGCTGGTATTCTGAATGCACAGATAGATCTTTCATGAATTTATTGCTAAGTATAATATTCTGTTATAGGAGACATTGTCTACCAAGGACATAGAGCTTGACAATTATACTATACAATCTCTCAAAGCTACTAAAGCTAGATAGAGGGAAAAAACAAGTGGAGGATTATGTATTTGGTGTCAAGGTTAGATCACTGGTGACTAAATTGAAATTCTATATAGCCCATTTGCTATGGCTGTAAGTTTCCAATTTAGATTTTACATATTATAGTTATGAATATCTATCTTCCTCCTCAGCCATTACAAAAACAAGTGAAAGAAAAAGGCATGAATTAGAAATGTATGTAGCATCTTTAATAGGACAGCTGCCAAAGGCTCTGGTGATACTGGCTGGAGATTTTAATGTCAGGATTGGTACAAATGATTACTGTATGAACAATGTAACTCTTACCTTGTTTGGAATCCAGAGAGAGAATCCAGAGAAAGAATCCAGTCCCTTCTCTCAGAATCAGTCCCCAGTATAACTGTAGAGATACAGTTAATTTTGCAGAATGGTGCTTGACTCAATTGGTTAGTATCTTAGATTTTTTAATCTTGAATGGTATCTGGGAGAATAATATATATGGATATTATACTTTCTGGGAGTGAGTTTCCATGGAATGATAAATATTATCTTTAATTTCAGAGTTGGATTAGTGATCATTTGATTCTAAATGTACATTCGGTTTTAAATGGGCATAATATACTGTATATACTTTAAAATCCTATTGTACTGAATTGTCATCAGACCCTGAAATACATTTGTGTAAAATGGACTGAGAAGGTGGAAAGAACACTGAAATCTATATATAAATCTAGCAATGGATACAGTTTGTACAATTCTTTAATTAATTAATTAATTAATTAAAGTTCCCTGAAAGGATTCTTAACATATATTGTACTATTACTACATTTACTAATTTGTAAAATTAAATGGTGTCTAGGAAAAGAATATCCAAACTATGGCTTGATGAGGAATGTGCAAAAGTAAAGGACTTCTTAATTGAAAATTGCAATTAATATTAGAATAATGACTGCCCATTACTCATGAGCAGAAAAAAAAAAGTATAAAGCTTTTTTGAAAAAGAAAAAAAGGAAAGCTCAGAAAAATCATTGGAGAAAACTCAGCTAGTCTTCCCAATCTGATGTCCGTATTACATTCTGGAATATTGTATCTGGCCATATGAGAGATATTGCATCAAAATCACAGTTCCCATCTCTGCCTCCACATGGGAAGTTCCAACCTAAAGAGGCATAGAAGGACTTGCCAGACTGGCCATCTGTTACCCAAGCTGAAACTGCCAAGCTAATATTGCAACTGAAGAAGGGAAAACTCCAGGAAGGAACAGTATCCCATCTGAGCTGTGAAACTCAAATATTGACCCATTTTAGTGGTTTTGTTCATGGCCATAACCTTCACACTAAAAAAATCCCACCAAATCCAGTGGAGTGGAAGGAACGGGAAAGCAGACTTGCTGAGGAGCAAGCTGGGTTTAGGATAGGGACATCAACCCAGGACTAGTGCTTGGTTTTATGACATCTCACTGAAAAATTCCTATCAGTCCCCACAGGAGCCTATCTATGGCATTCATTGACTTCAAAAAAGCTTTTGACTCTATTTATACATGCATTTCTAATTCATGCCTCTGTCGTAGCCCCTACGCTCTGGAACAGCATCCCCTGGAGATATGTATGGTTCCCATCCTTCAGGTGTTCTAGAGTCCTAGATCTAACTCTATTCCTAGGCCTGGGATTAGGGTGTCTGTGGTATTCTCCCAGATACCATTCAATTTTTTCCTCAATGTTATTTACATGGTTTTGTCTGGGCTGTTATGTTGCTTTTTAAATTAAGTATTCTTTTAAATATTGTAAGCTGCCCAGGATCTTTTTGGAGTTGGCAACCTTAAAATCCATCAAACAACCAAAACAGTTCAGGAACAAATTAGAGATGTCACCTTTGATAGACGTTTGCTAGCACTAATTAAAATGTTGCATGAAAATTCATTGATTATTTGCCATCAAGAAAACTGCAGGGACTTGTCCAGGCAGTCCCTAGGAGTAAACACTGAAAGGCATGCGTGCGCACGCGCACACACACACACAAAGCTTGTTATAATTCTTGGAAACCCTGATCAGTTTTCACTATCAACACAAATGCAGCTGGCCGGAATGTCAGACCAGGTCTTTCTGGTGACAGCATCCCAATTGTAGAAGTCTTTTCCAAGGAAGTTACTTTAACCCTTTGATTTAATTGGATATCCATCTGACTAAGCTGAACTATGCTAAGGCTTTATTTCTGCAAACCACTTGGGATGGGGGCTGTTTGTTTATTTATTCATTTGTTTTTCATTCCATTTATATGATCACCCTCTCCCCAAGGTGACTCCTATTTAAAAACAACTATATAATAGTAGAATATAGAAATATGGACCTTAACATAACATAAACAAAAAAGCAAATGAGAATGGCAACTGAGGAAAAATCCATTCATAATAAATAATACTGCACAGGCTCAACTAACCTCCCAACCCCATAACTGGGAGAATAGCCAGATCTTGAAGTCTTTCCAAAAAAAACCCAGAATCAGTTTTTAAGGGCTGAAAGACATGAAACTTCAGACAAATCTGTAATGTGGGATTAATTCAGTTTCCTGTGACTGCTTTATGGTCTTGTTTTGGTTCTGTCCTCTTCTCTAAGCATTGCTGGATTTTGAATGGAGTTCCTGCTTATTCTGTTTGTTCTAATGTATATTTACATGTGAATGTTGTTAATATTTTCTTCATGAAGTCTGCCTCCCACCCATTCTTTCTGCTGAGTAGTGCTTCAACAATCTTTGTAGTTTGCTAGCAATTGTGGCTTATGAACAGCTAATGAAGAATGCTTGACTCTCTTGAGCCTATTTTTATTCAGCAATACTAGAAGGACATTTGATCACTTATCTCAGTAATGCCTGCATGACCTCTTCACCATTGTCCTGCTTATGCGAATTCCTTTTTGCACTATGACCTTTATATTAGTCATTCTGCAAAGTCACTCTCAGCAAGTTATATTGTACAGGTGACCTTTGGCTCTTATTATTTAGAACTGTTACTACAACATCATTTTTGGGGGTATCAAAGTGCTGTGGTAGAAACAAGAAAGAAAAATAGGTACAAGAATAGCAGCCTAGTCTTATCTGCTGCTTTAACTTGTATGGCAGAAACAGCAATGCACTACTACAAGGTCATCTTTCACGATGATGTGACTCCAGCCTCATGTTTAAATGACTTTTAGGTCCCTAAAGATTGCTTGGAAAATGTTCCAGCTTGTCTTTAGATTTTTGGTCTGGTCATTGGAACAGACAGGCAATATATACATCTATAAAGAAAGAAATAATCTTCCTACGTTTACCTACAACTGATAGTTCTTTCATTCACATTGCTACTGCACATATCAGGATCAAATTGGTTTGGGAAGAAATAAAGATAAGGAGGGATAGCTTAGAAAACAGCTTTCTAATTCAATCCCCAAGATGGATGAAAGGCAAGAACCAGTCACCCACTGACATCTGTATAATTCAACTTTCTCAACCTGGTGCCCTGCAGATGTGTGGACTTTCAGAATTCCCCAACCCACAAATCCATCGATGAGAATCTAGGAGTTCAAGTTTGTGCATTTGGATGACACCTAGCTTGGAGAATGCTAAAATAATTTATGGCTGGTGTGGCAGACTGGTCAAGTGTGCATAGGATTTTAAGTATCCCAAAAATGTACTGGAATTTCTCAGGAACAAATTGCATCTTAATGCCAATTTATGTGAATGCCTCTGGCATAAGTGACGACCCCATGGATCTTTTATCTTTAGCCAATCAGTGTAACTGTGATCACCATCGTTCTGGCTGTCTCTTATGCACAGTTGTTCTCCCTTCCCTGTCTTTAAACCACCTCTTTAGCAGTAGAAGAACTGATACAAATTAATTTGAGTGCTTAATGAGCCTTTCATGGTGAATTTGATGTAATTGCAGATTTGGGGGGAAAAAAGGAAGAAAATGAAAATGCTTTCATTTGTACTATTTCAGGATAAAGCAAGAATGGGATGTTATGCTAGAGTGCAGAAGAAAAGGCATTCCACAGACTGTATATTTGAATAATGGTTTCATAGATACTAACAAAATTTTGGACAAAATTGAAAAGAACTCACCACTGATTAAGAAGATTGCCTTGTTGAATGAGAAAGAAAGAAGCAAATTTATTTTTCAACTTTCAGGGGAACACTGGACAGTAAGTATATTATTTGAGTTACAATTTGCTTATTATTTGCTTATGTCCATTGAATTGGACAGATTTAAGTTTGCCTGAACCTTGCTAGTCATTAGTTTTGTCTCCACTCCCTTTCTTTCTTTGTATAAATGACAACGCATGTGTTTTATTTTAGTAGGTGCATGTCAGAATATTGGAGGGGGGGGGGACACTTGATTTTTCTGCATTAATTTTTTTCCCCATGTGACATGGCCCAAACTAGTCTCTTCTAGTTTGTCACCTTTTAGTTGGATTCAAATTGTGATTTGCAAGAAGGTTGTCCATGTTGGCAAGGAATTCTGGGAAAAGAGTAGTAGGTCATCAGATCTGGAAAAGACTGGCAGAGCAGCAATACTCCAAGTTCTTCTGATATTGAGATTAAAAAAAAAAATCTTTCCAGATATCAACACTGCATGATACTCCAACTCCTTAATATTTTCCATTTTATTTTTAGCAACCCAGCAGCCATTGCAATGTGATTTCTTCTTATATCAGTGATGCCACCAAGGAAAGAGAAAGGTTGATACCATGGCTTCTTCTTGCACCAGACTGACATTACAAGAAACTGGATCACACTGTACTGTATTTCTAATAATTGCTCGCTAGCTTAAAAGTAGCAATGTTGCAATGGTTCCTTTGTTGCTAAAAGTAATGTGTGTGACATTTCACACATTTGACATGCCATCTGACATTTTAGAACAGCAGCAGGGTCCTAGCAGCTGTTAATACCTCCTCTAGTCCCTATACATTTTCTTTTCTTTCTGGTCAAGCACTCTAAGCAGGGCCAGGCAGCTGGATCTCTTGTAGTGTTCCCAGCATGGCATCCTTTGGGGTAAGTGGGAGGCATTGTGGGATACTAAAATTTATCCCTGATAAGTAGGCTTGATGTGCTTTTCATTGGCCATTGGGTTACATGATGTTTGGACACTCTACAAGTTTGTGAATGGTTGCCTCATTGACAGTGGAGAGCAACTGATTAGCTTCCTCTTGGTGTCTGTGCATTGAAGGTTACTAAAGAACATGGGGAGGCTGAAAAGCAGAGCCAAAAGGAAGTCTGTTTCAATTCCTATCACAAATAAACCTAGATCAAGGTTTAAATGCCAAGAACTAAAATGATTGATTGTTTGACTAATTGAATGATAGGCCTACATCCTGACAAATTATATTTATTTCTATGGCAGTAAGCAAGAATCTGGAAAGACATTTAAAATAATGTTTCTAATAACCTCTACATGGATTTCCTTTCCTTTCCTTTCCTTTCCAGCAATACTAGAAGGACATTTGATCACTTATC